CAGACAAAACAGTAACCACCCACCACATCGTCCTTCCAAAGAGCATTGTGAAGACCTCAGAAACAGTGGCCTCACATGGCTCCCTTGGCATTCCAAATCCTCAGTTTCTTGGACATCCCAAATCCCTGGATTTCTCTGCTTACTGGGGTTAGCAAGGGAGGGTGGGGAGCAGTAGAATCCTACCATGGATCACAGACAGTCCATCTGGGGCTCTTCTTTTAGCTTATCAACAGTGCTCAACTTCCAGAGGGCTGGACCCTTCTTGATTCTATCTTGCTTGTAATCAGAGAATTTCTGGGACAATGTTGGCCAATATTCTAGATTCCCATCTTCTCTACTATGTAGCTCTTAAGTTTTCTCCCCACTCTGTACTTCTTGATTCTGTGTTATTTGTCTTAAAAACTCAGACCTCCCCCACAACTAAACTGTGCTGTGCTGCTCTCTGGGGTAGACCTTGGACTACAAATGATCAAATAATGGTAATAGGGAAGGGGTCAAGATCAGTGCTTGTTCCCCCAGTCTCTGCCCACTGCCAGCTCTGTCTTCCTCCCCACTCTTGGCTTGGTTCCCCTTCTGCTGAGACCATCCTGCACTGTTGCCCACAAAAGATCGTAAGAGAAGTGTCTCTACACTTGTGAAGACTGTGTGACACGCCCTTCAAAGCTTCAGGGAGATAAATTTAGACATAAAACAGGAAGTAAATCTCTATGTGGCTGAGAGTGATCTAAGGGAACTTATTGCCTCAAGATATTTTAAAGTCAAGGTATGGGGGGAGTAGTTCTTAAACATTCAGGTGGATCACAATCACATGGAAGGCTGGTAAGCTACACATTGCTTGTCCCATCCCAGAGTTTCTATTTAGCAGTTTTGGGGTGGGCCCTGAGAATTTGCATTTCTAAAAAGCTGATGCTGTTGGTCCAAGGACCACATTTTGAGAACTACTATGTAGATGTTCAAGAAGGGACAAAAAACCTCTCTGGGCAACAGGGCTCATCTGAAAGGGAAGGTGTTGGACTAGGTCAGCCAAAATGCTCTTTAGGACCGATACCCATGCTTACAGTGTTAAACAGAGGCTAAATGTGTACTTGTGTCAAGCTTTTCTCATTACCATGAAATCATTATTGACAACCTACATTAAGATACCATAGGGACGCCTGGGTAAAGCTTCTGCCTTTGGCTCAGGTCATGATCACAGGGTCCTGGGATGGAGTCCAGCACTGGGCTCCTTGCTCAGCAGGGAGCCTGCTTCTCCTTCTGCTTGCTGCTCCCCGTACTTGTGCTCTTTTTCTCTCTGACAATTAAATAAATAAAATCTAAAAAAAAAAAAAAAGATACTGTAAAAATTTCCAGGAGTTTAAAAGCTCTGATCTATATACAACAAAACCTTATTAAATAAAATTCATTACTATCACTTATGGAAAACTTACAGAATACTTTAAGCAAATGTCCTTTTATTCATAATGTCAACTGGGCTCCTACAAAAATGTTTTAAAGAAAAGTTTTCACTGAGATGGCTTTACAGAACAAATTAATAATTAGCATGTAAGGCTTAGCATATAACTAATGTTTAAAGGCCTTAAATATGATATAAGCTACTGGTCTACTAAACATGTACTTCTCCTCCCCTTTCCTCTAACAAATAAATATTACTTGCATTTTAATTTAGTACTGTGTCCATCCTCCTGAAATAGTCATGCTTGTTCACAGCATCTAATCTTAGCAAATAACTAATATGGTAAACCTGAAGTGTCAGTCATTTCAATATTGCCCCTCTGCCTCACACAAATAAATTGTATTTACATGTTAATTTGCTTAACTCAATCCTGGAGCAGCTGCAGTCACCCTCCTTGGCTGGTCTTAGATCACACGCTCTTTTCCCTCTGGGACCTGATGCCTTCCTGCTTAGAACCTTAGGATTGAAGGGGACCTAGTGTCCAGTCCACTCCCCTAATCTGAACCACCAAATGTGTCTTCAAGGTACTATGCCAAGGAATTCCCAGACTCAGAAGGGATGGCCCATTCAATCAATCACTAACACCTTGTGAAAGTCTGCTGAGGTCCTCCATCAGTCACCCCAGAAAACAGAACAGGTCACCTTTGGAGGCATGGAGGAGAGCCAACACAAATGTATTTAACCACCTTTTTACCTGACCATGTTCACATGCAAAGGCTAATGTCATTAACTGGGAATGGTCACAGTTGCCACATTTTTTAAAATATATGTTGTATTATTACCCAGGAAATAATCATGCTTTCATTACTCAGATTCCTTTAACTCTCTGGGTCCAGCATTCCTAATCCTAGAAGTTTATTTCTCTTTGTTCCTGGCCCATCTCTAGGCCTTTGATAAGCCTCTGGAAAACTAATGAGCTTCAATACCTTAACAATACAGAAATCCTCAGGTTTGACATGTAGCTCTGCCACTTTTTCGTGTCTATATAATTTATCTCCTCAATGAGATCATAGGTTCCTAGAAAACACAGGTTCTGTTTTATATTTTATGTCCTGTCTCTGCTGTGCCTGAAGGGAGAGCCAGGATCTGGAATCCCAAGTCCCCTTTCCAGGGTCTGGTTGGTTCCTGAGGCCGTAAAAATGGAAGAGAGGAATGTTATATAGAGGACATTAAAGATACTTAGCACTAGTGGTAAGTGACCAGCCCAAAGACTTATGGTGGGATTCTACTATGATGAAATGATACAGATTAATGGGGAACCACTACTTTACCCCAAGGCCTAGAGGTAAAATAAGTAGATGAGCCATCTACTTAAGAACTGGCCTCATCTGCTTTCTCCATACTTCTCATCTTTAGGGGCCACCCTGATCCCACATTGCTTTTCAGCTGCATGACTAAATCCCCACCCTACCCCTTGTCTAGTTGGCCTTGGTTCCAAGGACCTAAGACTGGAGTAAGGCGTTCCCAAACAAGATAGCAGGATACAACAGGCCCTAATAAGCAGAAAGAGCCAAGATTTATACAGAAGAACAGAAATACAAATACCACAGAAGATAAAAGTGACAAAAGACTGACTGAAGGTAAATTAGGATTGCTCAGAGGACATTGTATGTCTACCATCTCGATGTTCTTTTAAGATAAGCTGGACAGGGTGTGCCTGGGTGGCTCAGTGGGTTAAAGCCTCTACCTTCTGCTTGGGTCATGATCTCAGGGTTCTGGAATCGAGCCCCGCGTTGGGCGCTCCGCTCGGCGGGGAGCCTGCTTCCATTCCTCTCTCTCTGCCTGCCTCTCTGCCTACTTGTGATCTCTGTCTGTCGAATAAATAAATAAATAAAATAAAATAAAAAAAGATAAGCTGGACAGTTTTTCATGCACCAACAATGTAGCCCCTTGATTGGGATACTCTTTTCAGCCCTGATTCTTTGGGACCCCAGTTGAGCAGATTAGCTCTGAGCCCCTCCTGGGGAGGGAGGAGAACTCAAAGACAGGTTGGGGGTAGGTCGGGGAGCACTGCCCATGTTAGAAGCTGTTAGGAGCTAAATGCCTGTAAGAAGAATAAAGAGCCTTTCTCTCTCCTAAGAGTGAGTCTAACATATCTTCACCCTTTTCTCCTGGGCCCTCTACTGGTCTTTGCTTCTCTGATGTTTACTATTCTGACTCTGCGGAGGGAAAGAGAAGGAATCAAGTGGGCTTTGGCCCTTCAATTCTCTTCAGAAGCCCCTCCTGCACTCTGGTCCTGATTTCATCACTGACATGCAGAAATACTTGTTCTCCCAAGCTGGAATGAAAGGCAGAGATCCTGGGGTGTCCTCAGAGCAAAGGTTCTCGCCTTAGTTTGCATATTACAATCAGATGGGGAATTCAGAAAAAAAATCACAGTGACCAGGCAGGATCCCCAAGCCAGTGAAATAAGATGGATGTGAGATCAGATATCAGTGTATTTTTTTTTTAAGATTTTATTTATTTACTTGGCAGAGAGAGATCACAAGTAGGCAGAGAGGCAGGCAGAGAGAGAGGGGGAAGCAGGCTCCCCGCCGAGCAGAGAGCCTGATGCGGGGCTCGATCCCAGGACCCTGGGTCTCAGGACCCGAGCTGAAGGTAGAGGCTTTAACCCACTTGAGCCACCCAGGCGCCCCGATATCAGTGTATTTTAAAACTCGCCAAATGGTTCTAACGTGTAATCAAAGCTGAGCCTCACTGGCCTGAAGGTTCAGCAACCCTTCTGTACATTAGAATACCCTGAGGGATACATTAAAAACTACTATTGCTCTGAGACCAACTAAAATTAGAGTCTCTGAGGACTACAGCCCAGGGATCTGTATGTTTTTCAGGTTCCTTGGGTGATTCTTTTTGTGTGTGTTGGTAAACTATATATAACAAAATTTATTTTGTTTTATTATTTTTGCCGTTTTTAAGCATACAATTTAGTGGCATGAAGTACATTCACAATACGGTGCATTATCCATTTCCAGAACCTTTTCACTATGCCAAACAAGAGGGTATCCACTAAATAATAATTCCCTATTCTCTTTCCCCCTGCAAGCTCTGGTACCCTCTATCTACTTTCAGTCTCTATGAATTTTTCTTTTAGGTACCTCATATAATTGGAATCATACAGTATTTATCATGTTGTGACTAATTTATTTCACTTAACATAATGCTTTCTAAGTTTTTACATGTTGTAAACCTGTGTCAGCATTTCCTTCCTTTTTAAGGCTGAGTAATATCGCATTGCATGTACATACCACATTTTGTTTGCCCATTCACTTGTTAATGGACATTTGGTCTGTCCAGCTTTTGGCTACTGTGAACGAGGCTATCTATGCCTATTGGTGTACAAGGATCTGTTTGAGTACCTGCCTTCAGTTCTTTTGGCTATATACCCGGAAGTGGGATCACTGGATCATATGGTAATTCTATGTCTAATTTTTTCCCCATTTCATCGAGTTATAATTGTTGCACAGCATAATGATCTGACTTACTTGTATTGTGAAGTGATTATCACAACAGTTTCATTAACATCCATCATCTCATACAGATACAAAAAAAGTATATGGAATGCTTCACAAATTTGTTGTCATCCTTGCTCAAGGGCAAATTGATCTTCTTTGTGTAATCCCAATTTCCGTACATGTGCTGCCAAAGTGCACATTTAACTTTTTGATGATTGGCCATGCCCTCATGTGATTCTTTTCTTTTCTTTTAAGATTTATTTATTTGATGGCGCCTGGGTGGCTCAGTGGGTTGAGCCTCTGCCTTCGGCTCGGCTCGTGATCTCAGGGTCCTGGGTTGGAGGCCCGCATCAGGCTCTCTGCTCAGCGGGGAACCTGCTTCACCTCTCTGTCTCTGTCTGCCTACTTGTGACCTCTCTCTCTGTCAAATAAATAAATAAAATCTTAAAAAAAAAAGATTTTATTTATTTGAGAGAGAGAGAGAGAGAGAGCAAACGAGCACGGTGAGGGACAAAGGGAAAGGGAGAGAATCTCAAGCAGACTCCGGGCTGAGCACGGAGCCTGATACAGGGGTTAATCCCACAACCCTGAGATCATGACCTGAGCCAAAATCATGAGCAGGACACCCAGCCAAATGAGCCCTCCAGGCACCCTGCCCTCAAGTGATTCTTAAGTAGAGCCAAACGTGAGGAATACCAGTGGTCCTCCTACATCCTAAGAGAGTACTGATTGGTAGTTGGTAAACATTATGGAGTGACTTCCTTCATTAATTTTACTGAAGCCCAATGCAGTTGTTTTTGTCACAAAGTCTGAACACAACCGGGTGGATGAAAAGTACTCTTGAAAACCCCAACAAAGTGTCTCCTGGCCATGAGAAGTGGCACCTCAATTGCAGTTCCCATTTTCAGCTGAAATGTGTCCCCAGTGATTAGTTAGTAGCGATCGTGTAAGTATCAGAGTTTCTGAATGATTTGCTTTGTAGATTATAAATTAGACCTGATTCATGCTTGCTTCGACAGCACATATACTAAAATTAGAACTGATTCAAGACTTTCCCTATCACAATGCCCTATCATGATACCTAAAATTATTTCTATCATCATACCAGTGCTCAGATATGTTCTCTTGAATCGGAAAGAAAGGTATCACTTCATGATAACGAAGTGACTGTGTTGCCCATGAATGTCTTCCATCTCATAAATCGCTCCTCAACTATCTGTTGATAGTCTCATGGGAGTTCAAGGGCACAGGGATGAACAGGTGGCCCACAGAGGAGTTCTAGGGCAGTGAAGATACCATCTGTATAACACCATAATGGTGGATACATGTTAGTATACATCTGTCTGAACTCACAGAATGTACCACGCCAAGAGTGAACACTAATGGAAACTATGGACGTGGGGTGGTTATGTGTCAGTGGAGGGTCATCAGTTAAAACAAGTGTACCACTCTGCTGCAAGATGTTGATAATGGGGGAGGTGGTGCCTGTGTGGGAGCAGAGGGTATATGAGAAATCTCTGTATCTTCCCCTCAATTTTGCCATGAGTCTAAAACTGCGCCCTCCCCCAAAAAAGCCTTAATAAAAACTATCCTTTAACAGAGCCTGGCACAAGGTAGGCATCAGTAAATATTTGTTAATAATTGAATGAATGAGTGAATGAATGAATGTAGACAAATAAATGTGTTTGCTCTGGATGATTCATTATGACGAAAAAGTATGGAATGCTATTACAACACTTAGTTACTATTCCAAAGTTGAAGTTAAAATGGGAAAATGCCCCTAATCCTTTGGGAGATAGCAGCAAGAAGGGGCAGTGGATGTGGGGAGCCTTGTGTCCGAGGGTGCACTGACTGGCCTCAACACAGAGCTGAGTCAGAGGATATGAAAGGTGCTGGTATGGAATAAGGGTGGAAGACAAGGGGTACCATTTAAGTCACAAGACTCCTGCTTCCTTCCTCTCTGTCGTATAGCAATCCCACGACCTACAGGTTTTCCCCTGCACTGGGCCTTTGAAAACCTGTCCAGATATGAAATAACATGTTGTTCTGGCATTTTTAGTTAAAGTACCATCTAGAGTCAAATTGTATAAAGGAAGAGAAATCTATGAGTCAGTTTCCAGATTTGTATTTTGAAGATTACATCAATGGATTTCCATAGAAAGAAACCACAAGCTTCTTGCAGACTGTCTGGATTCACAAAGACCTACATCACTTTCAACTAATGAGGAAGAACTCCCAAGGATATCCTCTAAAGATATGCATGAACTTTTAAGGTGCATTTAAAAGCCAGATCTCCACTCTCAATGTTTCTCCTATCTCTGTATAATTGTAATGGTTGGTACAGGAAAAGAAGCTGAATTACTGTTTATTATTTTGTTCCCAAAATTAACGTGGCAATTTTGAGAGTGCTAGTAAACCCAGCATCTACTCCCAAACAGGTTTTATATGTATACATTATTATCTCTCATTTAATTCTCATAATATCCTTTGAAGCAGGTACTATTATCTCTGCTTTTTACAGATGTAGAAATTGAAGCTGAGAGGTCAAGGAAATTGCCTAAAGTCAGGTCTTCAATAAGTGGCAGCATCAAGATTCAAATTCAGGGCTAATTCGAAAGGTCATAACTTTCCCTATTAAACCATTATGCCCCTTCAAAGACCAACAGGGGGGTGAAATTACATAATAAAAATATTAATATTTGATTAGGAGAAAAAGACCAATCATAAAATGTAATGTCAGCCCATGGCAGAGGTTAGAGGGTGCTGGGTGGGGTGACTGAATAGGTTAGGAAACTTCAAGACACCTGGCTGTCTCAGTTGGTAGAGCATGCGACTCTTGTTCTAAGGTCATGAGTTCAAGCCCCACACCGGGGTAGAGCCTACTTTAAAAAAAAAAAATAAAATTGCAAGGTGGAAAACAGGACCTAGGCTAGAGGGAAATGAAGGAGGAAGTCCTCCTAGGAAAAGAGGAGAAGCTGAGGAGGAGATGGGAGGGGATGGACACTGTTAGTATCTAGCTGAGCTGTATTGGACAAAGATCAAATTGGTAAGGATTTTCCCAGGGTGGATAAGATAGATGTGCATTTTGATCCCTGGGCAAGTGTGAGTAGCTGCATAAGCAACACCTTCCATGTAGCAGACTTAGAAAAAAGAAGTTTGTTGAATCTCAATTTTTTTTTAAAGATTTTATTTATTTATTTGACAGGCAGAGATCACAAGTAGGCAGAGAGGCAGGCAGAGAGAGGAAGGGAAGCAGGCTCCCCGCTGTGCAGAGAGCCCGATGCGGGCCTCGATCCCAGGACCCTGGGATCATGACCCGAGCCGAAGGAAGCGGCTTAACCCACTGAGCCACTCAGGCGCCCCTTTAGAATCTCAATTTTGAAAGACCAGTCGACTAATAAAGACTAGACCAATAAAAACTAGAAAACTTGATTTCCATAATTGGCACGTGCAGCTAATAGATTCTCACATATGTTCAATGACTAAGAACAAAACAGGACGGCACCAGAAGTGACTGGGAAAGGTTTACCAAGTCCAACTGTGAAACGAGCTTTTGCATTTCCAAGGATAATAGCTTGCATTTGTTATCTACTATACGACAAGCAGAGTTAATGCTTTACTTACATCAAGTCCCCTAATTCTGGTAACAACTCTATACATTCTACTATATTTTCAATTCCATTTTAACAGATGAGGCAGAAAATTAAGTAACTTATTCGAAAAAAAAATTTAAAAAAATTTTAAAAAAGTAACTTATTCGAAGTCATAAAACGAGAATCCAGCAGATCTTTCTGGATCTTAAAGGTCGTGCACTTAGTCATTACACTGCTTTCTGAACTCTGCACTTAACACCGGATGAAAAGGGATAGTGACTGCTTGTGCTAGAATGTGATGGGAGAACGTATGGAGCAACTAATTACCTCGCCAGAGGTGAGGGGGAATTTGGGTACCCAAATTGCTACAGAAAATCCTGTTCTATGTGATGCAAAAGCTAATGGCACCGGAAATTGGGCAAGGAAGCCTTCTGTCTGAGAGTACCTAGCTGGTCACGTTCGATAAATTGCTTCCCTTTTGCCCCAAACTACTCTATAGTGTTTAATGGGAGGCAGTCAGACTCAGAGGAAACCAGGCAATTCCTGCTAAAAACGATCATTTCCAAGATCTGCCGCCCAGTTGAAAGAAAAGAAAAAGTCTAGGCACCGGTTTCGAGCAAATTTCCATTAGGTATCTGATGTCTAGGAACCACTTCCCTTAGCAGTGCCATACACATCAAACCCGAAAACGAGGAAGCCTCGACTGAGGTTGCCCAACGCGGGTGCTGGCACACGCAAGTCACTGAATCAGGTGAGCGCGGCGAGGGGCCGGCGGTGGAGAGCCGCGAGCTCCGGTCTCCGGCTTGAGGCAATCCTCCTCCCACGGTCTCGGGAAGCCCCGACGCCGCAGGCTTCCTAGCCCAAGTGGAGCCGCCCGGGCGTAGCTCCTCCACCGCTTCCTCCCCCAGCTGCAGCCGCCAGACCGTTCCTGTTAAGCCCGGACTCCACCTCCCCAGTGCCGAAGAGCGCGCCTCCGCGAGCGGGCGGCGGCGGGGAGAGGCGGAGAAAAAGCGCAGTGCGCGCACGCGCACAGAGGCCCCGCCCCGCCAGAGGCCCCGCCCCCTCGGCGCTGCAGGCGTCCCCTGGCAAACCTGTCTCTGCAGGGCGGGGAGCGGAGCTTCCTCCTCAGAGTGCGGTGCGACGTCGCTGGATTTTTCCTTCCGCCCCTGCCTCCGCGGCGCCGGGGCGAGCGAGGGGGCAAGCGGAAGGTTCGCTGGAGCCGAGGCCCGCGATGCGCCCGGGGGGAGCAACGCAAGTCGCGGGGTCGCCGGCGACGGACGGGTCGCTGTGCGGGGAGCTGCTGCAGGCCCCGTCGCCCCCGGCCTTGCAGCCGCCTCCGGCCGCGCCGTCGGGGCCGCCACTCCCCGCTTCGGCCGGCGCGACCCTCAACCGCCTTCCGGAGCCGCTGCTGCGGAGACTCAGCGGGAGCCTGGACCGAGCGCCCGAGGGCCGGGGCTGGAGGAGGCTGGCCGAGGTGGCGGGAAGTCGGGGGCGCCTCCGGCTCAGGTGAGGGACGGGGACGCGGGGGGCGTGGGGCAGGGGCGTGCGGGGCGGGAGCGAGCGGCCACCGGGGTGGGAGGACCGACGCTCCGGCGGCTGGAGCGCGGCGGGGGCCGCTGCGGTGAACCGGGCGCGGAGAGGGGACTCGGTCGGGAAAGCGTGGGAATGCCAGAGATCCCAGCTTGGACCCTCCTCCCCGGGGGCTCCATTGAAAGCGAGCCGCGGAGGTCGACCCGGGAGGATCTGGAGAGAAGGCAGGCTGTCTGCAAAGCTCTAGGTCCGGGCCGTCGTTCCAGAAGACCCGGGGTGGGAAAGAACGGGATGTGGGCGCGAACCGGGAAGACCGAAGGAAGGCTAAGCCGCAGAAGTGCAGGTGAAGAGAGAATGAAAGCGAAGGATTTCCTGGAAGTTTTTATGTAGGAGAGGATGATGATGGGAAAGGCTGAAACTAAAACTGCCATCTTCCTCCGTCAAACCAACTTACCGGGTTCTCTTGTTGACTTCTCCGTGAGCACTGAGCTCGAAGTCAAACTGTTTTTCCTCTTCCCAGGCTAGGAACTGCGGACTTTTGGTCTCAGGACTTCTTCACACTGTTAAGAATTATTGAGGACCCCAGAGTTTTTAATGTGGGTTCTATGCATTACACACATGTAATGTATGCTGAGTTACCATATTAGGAATTAAAACTAAGGAACATTAAAAAATATTAACTCTTTTTAAAAGAACAACCTGTTACACGTTAACAGAAATTACATGTTTTTGTGGGAAAACAAAACTTTTCCAAAACAAACAAAATTTGTTGGAAAAGTGGCATTGTTTTACATTTTAAAGGTCTCTTCGACATCTTGCCTTTATTGCAGAGAACGGCCCCCCTTTAGGGGCTTCTGCATTTGGTCTCTTGCACTGTCCCAGGTCATGTAACACTAGATATTCCACAATGTACACTTCCTCAGAGACTGAATGAAAATAATAAGTAACATCTCAGTGTTACTGTAAAAAATCGTTTGGACCTTGCAGAGCCGGTGACAGGATCCCAGGAACTGCACTAGGAATGCCCAGACCCCACTTAGAACCACTCCTCTCTGCTGTTGTTAGGATTTTGATCTGCCTGGCTGGGAATCCCTTAGAAGTTTTTTGTTGTTGTGTTGTTGTGGGTTTTTTTTTAACTTCTAACATGACTAAACTTTCTCTTGGACTATAATTATTTGTACACTTTCTTATGAACTCCTCGAGAACAGGGGGCATCAGTTCAGTCTCTGTGTTCTGCATAGAACCTTAGACACTATATTCTTGAATTGAGAAGGGAGTTATTCATTCACGATTTTATGTTTATTGAGTGCCTGTTATGAGCTGGAAGTTCCGGAAGATAAAAAGATGACAAATATTTAGTTCCTATTCACAAGGACCTCTCTAGTAATGGACTGTTATTCTAGGACATTCACAAATAACACGTTAAATGCTATGTTGGGTGTGAATAATAATAACAATGGGTTGTCATTAATTGAGCACTTAGTATATAGCAACACATTAAGCGTTTACTTGCATTGTCTACTTTAGCCCTCACAACAGCCTTGAGTTTCAGAGTTTGGGGTTAAGCCAGGATCATTATGATTATGGGATATTATCAATATCATTATGATTTAGGGTTCTTTGGCCACAGAGAGGAGTAAGAATGTGAAGTTGGAATTAACAAGTGATAAACTTGCAAAATTGAGCAGACAGCACACTTTTCTGTTCTAGGAAAAAACAGTGCTTCTCTTAGGAAGAAGGGGCTATGCAAAGAAGATCCAAAATACTATTACACTGTGTCTGTAGATTTCTGAATTTCTGGACTTCATAACAGTGTAAAAAGTTGTCAAAAGAAGACAACTTTTTACACTGACAGGATCATCAGATCTATGATTGGTTGGTTTGTGGTCAGTACGCTAGCTAGGGAAGGCTCTCGACTTCCCTGAGGAGGGCCTGGGAGTAAGGTCTCCAATTTGGCACTGGAGGAAAGAGAAGAAAGGAAGGCCCTGCCACTGAGGAAACGTGGCTGAAGCAGTGGATACCTGACATCAGGTGCTCAGTGTTCCTTCCCAAGCGTTCAGTCAGCTTTTGCCAAAGGCCGCAGAATGGTTTGTGTGGCAAACTAACAGGCCTGAGGCCACATCTCTGGTGAAGGTAGTATAGAGAGAAGGGCAGTCTTGCCTCCCAGGCAACAAAGTGCACGCATTCGTGGAATCTGGCAAATTCCAGAGTTGGATGTCTGAAAAGAAATAGATGGGATTTCACTAGTCTTCCAAAGATAGAGAAGATTAGTTCAGAAGAGGTGAGTGGTGGTGAACGTCGGGGCACCCCTGCAAATTAGAAAATTGGGGAATAGTGAAGTCATATACCTACTGAAATTGGAATTAAACTGGTATAACAAAAGGTTAGCACTGGGTACTTAGAGGCTGGAGTGTGACATCTGAGTGGGCAAGGTAAGCTGGTGATGCCTACTCTATTTAAGACAAAAAAGCTATTTCAGAGTAATTTCATACTGGTGCTAGAAGAGCATCTCTCATAGCAGAAAGTCCCAGAGGTATTTTTCTCTAGTGTCAGATCAAGGAAATGAAGTGTGAGGGTCCAAGTGGACAGTAGTTCCCATGAGGTTGTGGACTTTCTCCCTAAAATCTTCCAAGGTTGCCTAGTGTTTCTCTTCCCTTTTTTCTGACTATATACATGTTTCTTCAGATAGATGCGAATTTAATGAAGAAAACCCAAGAGTCCATCCTGAACTGTCCATCAGAGATGAGGAGTAGTTGTAAATGTTTTCATATAATTATGGGTGACTCACAATCAGTCCTGGCTTACGGTTTGGTTCCCCACCACCGTGTGTATACAGGAGTGCCCTAAATACAAACTCAGCCCTAATTCCATTCCAGACCGCCCTGATACTGAACAGCCTTTGCTGTCAGTGCAGATAGAAGCAGGTTCTGAGTGAAACAACTGTGTCGTGGTATCACCACACCCTGAAGGTGACAGCTTTCAGGAGGCTCTAATGCTGCCGGAACTCCATGCAGGAGGGAGCTTAGGAAGGGGGCTCAGGGACTCAGACCAAGGAAGACCATCCCTGCGCACCTGCTATAGCTGCAGACTCCTGCCCTCCTGCAGTTTGTGGAAAGATTGAGAAGGTGTGCAAAGCTGAAACAAAGGCTCTCCTTCTGTCTCTGTCCCTCTGGTCTGTCTCTGCAGTGTCTGAAGTTTGGAGCGCCGTGTCTTCACCCAATCCCCTTCTCAGTGTATCCCTAAGTCTCAGGACTATACTTGGGTGGATTCCTCTCAGTTCGTATCTTCATCTGTATCTTTGCTTTGAACCCCCTGGATTCATACCTGTAGATGCCGATTTGCCATCTCGTCGTGAATGACTAAGATATCTTATAAGGGTAGCATGTCCCAAACTTGGCATGTCTTCCCCCACAGACCTGTTTTTCACGTAGTTTTTCTTTATCTCAGGAAATGGCAACTGTACCCCTCTGATTGCTCAAGCCCATCACTTCCAAGTCATTCCTGAGTCCCCTTTTATACACCACGTCCCATCGGCATCTGCTACGCTTTCGGTGTGCATCCAGAATCCAGGCTCTGCGGACTCAGCCCTGGGCTGGCCACTGTCCTCTCTCACCTGGAGCATTCCAGCAGGCGCCTCACTTCTGCTTGGCCCCTGTCCCCAGGCTATTCTCAGCATATTCTCATTCATTGAGAATAACTACTCTTTTGAATATTCAGTGGGTCTTACCTTTCCTCTGCTCAAAGCCCTTTAATTGCTTTTCTCTTTCAGGATAAAAACACCAGTTAGTTACCAGTTACCTCTTGGACCCCATTATCTTCCTCCCTTTCTCTACTCTCTGCACACTTGCAGGAAGGTCTTTGGACTTGCTCTTCCACAGTCTGAGCTAGCCTCCACAGGTGAACCATAAGACTCACCTCTTCAAGTGTTTGCTTACAAGTCACCTCCTTCAGTGAGGTCTTCTCTGATCACATGTTTTAAAATGACCCCGTACATCTGCTCCAGCATTGCTCAGCCCCTTGCTTTGCTTTGTTTTTTCTTCAGAGCACTTATAACCATTGGATGGATACACACATTGCTGCAGTATCCTAAATACCTAGGGAAAATGGCCTGTTTTAGATGATTAATAAGTAGTTGCTGAATTAACGAAGAGAGATTTCAAAGAGTAAATGTTCCAAGAAGAGAAGCAAAAGGACCGAAAAGCAGTGCCGTGGTTTGTACCCTAAGGGATGTATGATGTGTTCTATTTGATTATATATTTTTTGAAGTAAAGAGAAATACAAATATATTTTCTTAAGAGCAAAGCCCATTTGTTTCGGTAATAGTCTTTTAACTTAAATGAGAAATTCCAAATTAGGGCTGGTAGAAACCACTTCAAAGCACAGTCTTACAGGAATGTAACTAAAAAAGGAAAGAAAGAGTCTGGTATATAGAAGCATCATCTGAGCTGAAAGCCAGTGCCCAGGCGGAAAATCAGTAAAAAAGAAAAGGAGATACAGAATCTTATTTTTCTCCTGTGTGTCTTGTATTGGAAATTTCTGTCTGCTTCAGCTCGACCTCTTTCTTCATTTGGAAGAAAGAAGTCAGATTGTTTTTCGCTTTTTTCTGTATCGGTATAAACATCAAAGCATCACTCGGCCGCATTTGGTGAGATGGCTTCTGAATTTTATGTACCAGATTTTGACCACCTTTCTGAATCATTTTAAAAAAATTATATTTAGCATACAGCATCCTTGTTTTTTTTAGATCTTATATTCTAATTATCTAAAAGAATGGTAATCCTTCTATTATCTTTAGTACTGGTTTCTTGACCTGGGTGTTACAGGGACTAAGGGAAGAAAATTTTACCGAATAGAGGAGTGACGGGCATCTGCAACTTTCATTGTTACTTTCATCATAGTCACCATTATTCCGTAGGAGAAATGAGACTTTAACACTAAAAAAATAGGAAAGACCATCTCAGATTAAAAGGCAGTCTTATTGTCCTTATCTTTATCATTTTACTGTGGACTTCAGATTGTGCTGCCACTAGTCTGCCATCCAGAATTTGGGAACAGTTGACATATGTTATGATGACTCACATTTAACAAAAAGAGTATTGAATATACGCATTTAACTGAGACACTTAGAAAGAATACCTAGTGAGTATAGAGACAGGAGGCCTTGAAGGAATGACCAGGTTACCAAACTAGTAACTAATCAAAACCTTTTTTAGAAAAGCAAAAACCGTTTCAGAACCAACATAATTAGGAAACTGATGTTCTTTTAATAGCCCATATTTTTATTGCATAGTAAGAACTCACTTTTATTGAGTGCTTATTTTTTGCCAAGCACTGTGCTAAGTACTTGTAGCATGGATTATCTAATTTAATTCTAACCATCCTATGAGATAGGTGATAGTAGTATTGAAATTATTTTGGTTGGCAACTTTTTGTTCCTAAAGTTAGGAGATTACCAACTTCACCACAGAATTATAAATCTTGAATGACTGTTATATAAATGCTATGGTAGCCTTTTAATAAAACCGATCAAAATGAATGTGGGTTAAGAATACTCCAGGAGCGCCTGGGTGGCTCAGTGGGTTAAGTGTGTTCATTGTGATCTTAGGGTCATGAGATCAGGCCCTGTGACGGACTCTGCACTGAGCATGGAGCCTACTTAAGATTCTTTCTCTGTAGGACACCTGGGTGGCTCAGTTGGTTAAGCCTCTGCCTTCAGCTCAGGTCCTGATCTCAGGGTCCTGGGATCAAATCCCACATCTGGCTCCTTGCTCAGAGAGGAGTCTGCTGCTCCCTCTGCCTGCTCTGCCTACCACTTCCCATGCTTGTGCTCTCACTCTCCCTCTCTCTCTGACAAATTCATAAATAAAATCTTAAAAAAAAAAAAAAAGATTCTCTTTCTATCCCTCTCCCCGGCCTGTCTCTCTAAAAAAAGAAAAGACTGTTCCAAGTCATATGAAAACTTGCTTACCTTGCATCTGGCATAGCTGTGATACTGTTATGTGTGACCATTTCCATCTATCCACTCCTCCAGCCTTTTAAGTTACAATTGAAATTCACGCAGTAGGGGTGCCTGGGTGGCTCAGTCGTTGAGTATCTGTCTTCAGCTTGGGTCATGATCCCCGGGTCCTGGGATCGAGCCCCTCTTCAGGCTCCCTGCTTAGCAGGGAGCCTGCTTCTCCCTCTCCCACTCCTCCCATTTGTGTTCCTGCTCTCACTGTCTCTGTCAGATAAATAAAACCTTTAAAAAAATTTCACACAGTTATCATTCAGTTATGAATAATTAACATGAGCAAGACAGATTTTAGGTATTGAGGGGTTAAAAATACGGGGTTTCTGTTTTCAAGGAGTACTGTGATCTAGTTAGGTAGAGAAGACACACTTGTGAAAGAAAAGCTCACGGTTTTAAGGCAGAATTGTGTCAACTGAGACATAGAGAACAGGGGTCTGCAAACAATAATCCCTGAGCCAGATTTGGGCCACTGCCCCTGTTTTTGCAGTTTATGGGCTAAGATTGGTTTTCATATTTAAAAAATTGTAAGACAAAAGACAAGAAAGAAGAACTTGCAATAGACTGTGTGGCCCATAAAACCTAAAATATTTTCCCTGTAGCCCTTTACAGAAATTTGTCAACCTTTAATATATAAGATAAGTCCCATCAGGAGACTATGTCTAACGTGCTTGGGGGATTTGTGTGGTCTGGGTGAACCTCACAGAGAAGCTAGAGTTTATATTGGACTATAATTGGGAAGGAAAGGGACAGGTCGCTGTGAGGTGCGGATTCTACAGTATATCATGGAGATTATCTAAAGGCTTTGGTTGGCCTTTGTTGTTGGTTTTGTGTCTTCGGGAAGATTTTGGGGGGCTCTTTTGTTTTTCTTTTCTTGGATGTTTCATACTTGTGCTTTCCCTTTCTATGAAATTGTTAAAGTCCATACTACTTGTCTCATTATTTATGGCCTTCTGTAGTCTGATCTTAACCTTTCTAACCTCGTATATGCCTACTGAACGCAATGACATTAAAAAGGAAATGGTATATGTATGTTAAATAGTGATAGTAAAAAAAAAAAAAAGTTCTAACAAAAAGACAGTGAGACAGAAAATAGATTCTTTGGAGCAGAGGTCAGCCAACTTTTTCTTTGAAGAGCTAAATAGTCCACGTGTTCAGGTTTGCAGACCAGTGACTCGCCTCTGCTGTTGTAACAGGAAAGCAGCCATCCACCTTTGTAATCACGTCTGTGAAGGAGCGTGGCTGTGTTCCAACAAAACTGTTTACAAACTCAGGTGACTGGGTAGGTTTGACCCAAGACCAGCGTTTGTCTTACCCATGTGTTAGGGTATTTCTAGGTACTTAGAAGAACTTTGAATGTCAGTAGCAATGATAGTCTTCTAAAGATTGTTGGAAAAATGAGCACATATAGTAAAAAACTCGACAATACAGAAGGGTTTATAGTGAAATGTTGAATCATCCAGCTGTGAGCTTTGCTGAACTGGCTCCCCTCTGTAGGAAAATCGCTACTTGTAGTTTCTGGGCTTTTTTTTTTTTTTTAATTTTTTAAAAATTTTTATAAACATTTAATGTATCATTAGCCCCAGGGGTACAGGTCTGTGAATCGCCAGGTTTACACACTTCACAGCACTCACCATAGCACATACCCTCCCCAGTGTCCATAACCCCACCACCCTCTCCCTACACCACTCCCTCCGGCCACCATCAGTTTGTTTTGTGCCATTAAGAGTCTCTTATGTTTTGTCTCCCTCCCGATCCCATCTTGTTTCATTTATTCTTTTCCTAACCCCCAAACCCCCCACGTTGCATCGCCACTTCCTCATATCAGGGAAATCATATGATAGTTGTCTTCTCTGATTGACTTATTTTGCTAAGCTTAATACCCTCTAGTTCCATCCATGTCGTCGCAAATGTTGGCTCTCTTTTCAAAGTTAATTTTGTATATTTAAGAACAAACACATATTCTTAGTCATAAAAATGGTATCAAGCAGAACAAACACTGTTCTCTATCTTTATTTATATGAATACAAATGTAGGCACGTGGTTTTGCTAATACAAAATTCTGTATGTTAAGTTTTTTCATTTTTCAAGATGTCTCAAAGATCTATGCCCTTTTTTGGTCATATTAAGCTTTCTAAAAGCACAAGAACAAGTAGAGAAATGTATCTGATCTTCCTACTCCGAATTCCCAAATTAAAGGTAAAAATTTTTATCAATATCAAAGCCACCTTTCTTTCACATCCTGTCTCAAGATTTCTCTCATCTTCTGATTTAGTAGTCTTGGGAGCTGAGTTGGAGAAGGGCGTAAAGAGGAATTCCCTGTGATGGCAGAAGGAGGAGGAAAGGACAGTAACATTCATAATGGAAATAACTTTTCACCACTCAGCGACTCATGGTTTATCCCGACAACACCTGCAATCGTGCCAGACATAGAGCAGGCATATCATATTGGCAAAAACTGTTGACTTGAATTAAATCTGTTTGTTTGCAGTTGTCTGGACTTGGAGCAGTGTTCTCTTAAAGTCTTGGAGCCTGAAGGAAGTCCAAGCTTATGTTTACTGAAACTGTTGGGTGAGAAAGGTTGCACGGTCACGGAACTGAGTGACTTCCTGCAGGCTATGGAGCACACGGAGGTTCTTCTGCTTCTTAGCCCCCCAGGTGGGTTCTTCTCTGGAGTCTGTTCTCCAGGAGTTTGTGGACACAAACTTGGAGGAAGATATCTCATTTGCCAGTGAATTGTATTGAATATTTTTGGAAAATGTAAATGTATGGAGACTTATTTTTTTCCCTCCAGGTTGAAACTAAAGAACACATAAAAAGCAAATACAACACATAAACATTGATTGGATTGTGGTTCAAAAACATCAACTGTAGAAGACATTTTGGAGACAAGTAAAACAGTTTGGATTTAACATATGTATTAGGTATTATGGAATAATCATGTGATAATGGTGGTATAGTCTGTAGAAGAATGTCTTTATTCCAAGGAGATATATGCTAAAGTGTTTAGGGGATGAGGCTCCTGGCTGGCCCAGTGGGAGAGCATGCAACTCTGATCTCAGGGTCGTGAGCTCAAGCCCCACATTGGGTGGGGAGCCTACTTTAAAAAAAAGGAGAAAAAAAGTGGGGTGCCTGGGTGGCTCAGTTGTTAAGGGAAGCCTGCTTCTCCCTCTCCCACTCCCACGGTTTGTGTTCCCTCTCTTGCTGTCTCTTTGTCAAATAAATAAATAAAATCTTTAAGGAAAAAAAAGTAAAATATTTAGGGGTAAGATTTTTTTTTTCCAAGAATTTACTTATTTATTAGAGAGAGAGCGAGACAAGAGAGCACAAATTGGTGATGGCAGGAACGGAGGAAGAGGGAGAAGCAGAGTCCCTGTCGAGCAGGGAGCCCGATGCAGGGCTTGATCCTAGGACCCCAGGATCATGACCTGAGTCAAAGGCAGATGGTTAACCAAATGAGCCACCCAGGTGCCCCTAGGAGTAGGACTTATATAACTCGTGTTGAAATAGTGCAGCCAAGGCTCAGTCAGTAGAGCCTGTGGCTCTTGATTTTGGGGTTGTGAGTTCAAGCCCCACTTTGGGGGTAGAGTTTATTTAGGAAGGAAGGAAAAAAGGAAGAGGGGGAGGGGGAATAGTGCAGCCAAAACATAAAGAAATACATATTTATTAATATCTATGTATGTATACAAATTAGATAAAGCAAATATGACAGGTATTTATTAAGTATTTCACCAACGTGATACTTTTGAAATGTTGATTGATTCAACCATGATTTTTTTTCTGAATATAACAATATTATTGAATGAGATTTCTCCCTTGCAAGGTTAGGTGGGAGGGATAGGAAAAGCCCCTTGTCTCCACAACTACAGGTAGAGTTGGTCCCCTAGAGCAGTATCGGCAGGAGAGACCATGTGATCTGAGTCGCCTGATGACAGCAGCACCTCGGATCTCGTTTCTCAGTGGTCCAGTTCACCATCATAGGTTCCACTAGAACCAGAGAAGCCAGTCGAGGTTGGGAGGGCCATGGTCTAAGGACTCATGCTCTATTTTGCATGGTTTTGATGTATGCAGATTTTATTAAATAACCAGCCTATTTGTGATAATATTTCAAAGTTAACATGAGGAACCTTAAATTATAATTCATATCATATTTTTGTCAGTTCTGGAGTTCGGGAATCTTTTAATTGAAAAGTCTTGAAGCAAGTTGGGCTTCAAGAGAGGCTGAGGACAGCCCTGTTTTCAAAGAATTGGCTTGTTTTCATCTTTGCCCCTCCTTTCTTGTTACTGGCTTCCTTCTAAGAGTGACTTTCTGCATAGTTGCAGGATCTCTACTGACTGTTCTTGCATTCATCTTTATCCCAGCAAAAGTCATAAAATTCACTTTAATTAACTAATTTCAGTGACATGCCTGTCCCTGCACCTGTCACTGTGGCAAGGGAGATGGTATGTGCCCATTTGCTGGCTTAGAACCAGGAGTGGAGTTGGATTGAGTCAGCTTTCCAGAAACCACATGGATTACCAAACAAAAGTGGGCCTGTTGTAAGGAGAAAGGGCGTAACAAATGCTGGGGAGGTAACTGAAGAGTCTGCTACAAAGGGGAAAGGACCCTAGATTCCCAGGCAGGAAACTTGGACTCTCAGCTCATCCTCTGCTTCCCAAGGCCTAATGAAGATGATAAAATAGGTCTACAAATGCCTCCTTTGAGTTACACATTGCATTGGATGTTTGACATCCGTTCCTCGGTGCCTCTTCCTACCGAGAGGTCTGGGGTAGGAGTAACTACTGCTAGAGCAGCCCCTGTCTAGATGAGACTGTGGTTTGTCACCAGTCAGTGAACTTCTTCATAAGGTGACATTTGTTCACTTTTAATATCCCCAGTGCCTTGAATATTGCCCAGGAGTTGTGACGATTGAGATCTGCTAGTTCGGGCCCTCAGTTAGCTACTAAGCCCTGAAAAGTCCTAGAATACCATACCAGGGCCTCTGAAAACTTAAGAAACCTCTCCAGAGAGTAAATATAACTTTTATATCTCATTATCTTTCTTCAGTAGTTACACTAATTACTCTATTGGTTGCCAAGTCTGTAAAATGAGAGTAAATTATCTTTACCTGGCAGAGTTGAAGGAGTTACATGAAATGATGCCATGTGAACTTGCCTCTAGGCAACCACAGAGGCTTCCCGTCTCATGGTCTGTGCTGGGATCACCCACCTCCGATCTTGGGCTTCCACGTCTTCAGTTTCCCATGCGTGACACTGGGCTTTCCTGAAACGGAGTCACATGTTTGTTTCTGTGTAACAGTCTGCCTGAAGTTTTTGACCAACCAGCAGTGAATACAGAGCCAACCTAATAAACATCAGTAACCTAATCCCTTGACAGATCCATTTCTGCTCTTTGTGTTTTTCTCCAAATAGTAGGATTAGCACTTTACCGTCAGTGTCCCCATACGGGCATTCTCGTATTTGGTCTACAAGCTTTTTCAGAGTTATCTGCTCAGACTTCCTTGCATTTGAGGGGAGACCAGGAAAAGGAAAGCAGTTTCTATGTAACATTTCTGTATTAACACTTATTCACCATTTCTGTGAAGTTTTATGTCCTATTAACTATATAGTATCCATTGGGAATCAATTGTTTCCTGAATATTAAGTATTGATTTTTGAGGATATATTTTAGGATCTGATAAAGCTCAGTAATTTCAGGAAGAGGTAATTTACTGTTAGCTTTCTATGTGCATTTTATGTGAATAATCTAAAACCCACTGTATTTGCAGATGCTAGACTAAAGAATATAAGAATTATAGAGAAAATCTTAATTTTTCATAAGGATATTGAGGATTAAAACTATTGTAATTAAGAAGGTAAGCTCTGAAAGAATCAACTTTATTTGGGACTTTACTCATTCGTTCAGTAAACACAGGATTCCAGTACCTTTGCTATTCCAGACATTGCACTTGGTACTGTGACTCAAAGATGACTAGAACCAAAATTCTCGCCTAGGAAAAGTTCGTAGTCTAACAGGAAAGACAAACCTGGAAATGGTCACATCCAACACAACCGTAAAAACAAGCAGAGCAAGTCTTATCTGATCTTTGGGTTTTTCTTTTCACCTGTTCTTGGCGAAAATACAATATGGAAATATTCTCATGTTTTCTCTCTTTTTTGTAGTAAGACAGTTTTCATAGGAGGATATTAGTTCTTATTCCACAGAAAGTCCAATGACTTTTCTCTCTGTGCAGAGGTCTGCTTTTGGTGAGTAGGGTGAGTTCTCAAAGATGTGAGCCTCTGAACAGACCTTGCAGACCCAAATGCAATAAAAAGAGGAAACTTTAGATTTATTTTAGTTTTATTTTGCCACATTCCATTTTGGTTGGTTGTGGGCCAACAGCCAGAGATATAGCCATAGGAGATGGCTATAATAAGGAATTTCTCTGTTTTTCGAGAAACTGGGTTTCTTTTATCTATTTGTTTTGGTAGCCCAGCAGTAGCTGGGGCAGTGTTCCCCTACCTCTGACTAGAAACCTCTAACTCCTTGACTAGGAGCCAGCCTCAGTGGTCCCTCACTTACAGTGGGATCTAAGGGTAACTCATCCCTAAATTGTTGCTCTCCGTGGGCTCTGACACTTAATATATTTTCTGAAGGAGCCCCATAGGATTGAGGTTTATCCTCTTCTGCTTTCTCTCTAATTGGGCTTTTCCCACAGCACATGGTTGGCTAACTGCTCCCCATGCCCATTTCCCAACACTGATTGTTTCCCTGTTTTGTTCTTTTCATCATCTCAGTGGGAACTGGAGGGGAGTGGGAGCGCCAAATGAGTGTGCTGAAATTGCTTGCACCAGAAGTCTGTAATGATTTTTAGACCTTTATTTTCTCCTTAAACGATCAAAAATCCTGATCCTGAAGCAGCTGACATTGGTATCTCTGTCCTTTACAAATGTCATTGAGCCTAGATGTGCAGTTCAAGATCTTCCTGTTGTTTTGTTTGTTTGTTTGTTTGTTTTAAGTGAAAACATTCTGAGTGATAAGCTCCATCCGTTACGTAGGTATGCAGATCCCAAAATGGCTGCCAGGGAAGTGATGCCCTGGCCTGGAATTGGTTAAGCAGAGGCCAGACTATAGGAGCTATTTAGAGAGAATTAACATTTGGTGTATGGGTTTCATTAGATGAATCCCAGGGTTCCAGGTCCAGCTCTGTGATGTTATCATTTTACTTCCTTCTTTATAGAATAGGTACTTCACTTTCCGTACATTTTAGGCGGTTCTGGCCGAGATCTCTTCAATCACATCATTTCCACTTGCTCCACACCTTTGGAGCCAAGGGGCACCTGGGTGGCTCAGTCAGCTAAGCACCTGCCTTTGGCTCAGGTCATGATCCCTGTGGCCTGGGACTGAGCCCTGCATCAGGCTCCCTGCTCAGCGGGGAATCTGCTTCTCCATCTCCTTCTCATATGCTCCCCCTCTCTTTCTCTTTCTTGCTCTCTCTCAAATGAATAAACAAAATCTTTAAAAAAGACAGAAACCAAGATTGTTGGATATTATTCTCTAATTTCCAAAATACCTTTAGTTCAGAACCATCTTATCTTTACAGTTCTGTGAAGGAACAGAAGTGTACCATCATGAACATTTAAATTTTAGATGTGAGCAGACATTTGTGTGGAAAATG